CAGACTGCATTGCAGTCAGCCAAAACAACGGCAAAATGCTTGTCAGCGTGGTCGTTTCAGCCATCGTAAAGCGGTGTTATCGCTGTTTCCAGCCGTCTTGTGAAAATTAGACAAATCATCGCTATGCTGTCACATTGAGGTCGTTTTTAGGACTCCTTCGATGGGTGAAGAACGTCGCAGCCCTAGTCAAGCGGCATCCGTTCATGAGTTTGACCTTGACAAAGTACCTGTGAGCAAGACAAAGAATGGCAAAAGGAAACGTGCAAATCACTTGCATCACCATAACGGACTTTCAACAAATAATAATAGTGCCAAGAAGAAGAAGGCATGTCATTTTGCTGCTTTTTTTGACGGATTGGCCTCCTAATTATTCTTATGTCTATGTATTTTCAAGGAGGATGCTGATGAAGACAGCAGTAGTGGAAAAGAGGAAGCACTCGTCGACGAAGCTAAGGCTGCCGCGACAACAAACATTAAGAAAGAAGAAGATGTCGTTGAGCAGACAAATCCATTGAAGACAGCTGCTAATGAGAAAACGTCACAACCGAGTGTCAACAATGAGGTGATCATTATCATTTTTCTTTGTCTACATTGGAAAATTGTTTCTGACTTCATCAGAGAACTTTTTGAAAAGTTAGATCCTATGATTAAGCAAACTTGATTTGTTCTTGAGGAATTATTGATTTGTTCTTTCTTAGGGAATTTCCTGTTTTCCTTTCAGGTGCCTGAGCTGAAAAAGGAATTGGAATCCAGGAAACCATTGGAGAAACTAGAACAAGTTGCAAAGATGGTTGAAGAGGTGAAACCTGAGAATGCAGAAGCGGAGGAGTCGAAAAAGGATGAGAAGTTATTTGATGACATTGATTCGGATGAAAACGATGAGAATGTTGCCAGTGTCATTACTGACGATAACACGTGGAAGCATGGCGATCAGGTACTGGTTGTAGTTAAATTCATTTCATTGGTAAATGTTTTCCGATTTAGTTCCTCCGACAATAATTGCCTTCATCGTTTTAGGAGGCATGTACGTCGAAAAATGCGATATTCGTGCAGTCGATCGTGCGGCCATGCGGCCAGATGTGTGCACGAACTGATCTGTCATATCGTATGCCGAGCGATTGCGAATGGGCGAAGCGAAAACGGGAAAAGAAGGAGAAAGCTGCTGCCGCTGCGGCAGCTGCTGCTCAGCAACAGTCGCAAACTCCAACACAGCCAAAAAAGGTATTAAAAGAAACGAGTCAATGTACTAGCGACTATTTATGAAGAACTTTTTAGCCTGACTTCAACGGGATGATTCCTGGAGG